AAAAAAAAAAAAAAAAAAAGAAAAGAGGGAATTTTATTGATTAAATACAATGAACTTCTAAAATTTTTTAATTTGGCTGAGATAAATATCTAGAGTAATAGAAAGTATTTGTACGATAGATATCTAGTCGACCAAAACATGTAAGTGGAGCTTACAGGCTTGACATGCAGCTATTTGTAATGCAGTTTGAATAGCTATTTTAATGTATGAAAATTGACTGCAATCTGAATCAGATTCTCATCCTCTATGCTCTTACTATTATCAGTTCCTTTATTTTTTTCCCCAATTGACGTGATTTTCAGTTTCTTTCTTTCTGTATATGATGTGGGTAATGCATTTTTCATTCTTCACATGGATAATTGCAAACCAAAAATGCTAACCCTATTCCTTCTAGTGATTTTCACTATCTTTATGTTTTGACCCATTGTTTATTTTAAACCATCATTTACCGAAAAATTTGTCAAAATGATTTTGGTTCTGTATTTGCGTGAGTTCAGATAATTTTGATTTGAGATTCCATATTCTTGCAGGGATGCACCCACGTGTTTTAGTAGATGGTCTTGAAATTGCTAAAAGAGCAACACTACAATTTCTTGAAAAATTTAAGACACCTGTGGTAATGGGGGAAGAGCCAGATAAAGAGATACTGAAGATGGTAGCAAGAACAACATTGAGGACAAAGGTTTACAATGCCACTTTATTTCCATACTCCTTTTCTCTCTCTTTGGCTTTTTTTTTTTTTAAATTTTTCTCCTGGTCTCATGCAGTTGTACGAGGCATTGGCAGATCAACTGACTGACATTGTTGCAAATGCTGTGAGTGCTTGAAATGTTGTATGATAAACGGTTTTTCCTCACATTTTAATGAATTGACTCACGGACCTATTTCTGATATATTAGTTGATTGATGTTCACTATTTTTATAGAAGTTAATCTATATTTATTGTACCTGCTATCTTGATCACGTGCAACTTTTTTGTGGCTTATTGTAATAGGTGCTCTGCATTCGTAAACCTGAAGAACCTATTGACCTTTTTATGGTCGAGATAATGCACATGCGCCACAAGTTTGATGTGGACACTCGTTTGGTATGTAACATGAGCTCATATTTTCTGAATTGAGCCAATTCCTTGCCTAGTTCTTAACATGATTAAAAGTGCTTTCTCACGTTTGATTTTTGGATTTACCCAATGTTTGTGGGTAAGAACTGTGATAGATCCAACATTGAAACTGTCTTTTGACGATGGTATCTAGGAGATTGACGTTGTCAAATAAATTCATTTATGCCCTGTTTGGTTTGGGTATAAATCAGATTTTGAGTGAATTTTGATAAAAGTTAGATGAAATTTGTGGTTGAAAAGTTGATGAAAGTTGTGGGTCCCATATAATGTGTGGTTGAAAATTAGTTTGGATAAATATGAGTTTTTTAGAATTGGGTCCAAATGGGGGCCGAGTCTTTTGAAATTCTTGATACACTCTTTAGTGCCTATCACAGGTGCAGGTGTCTTATAATCTGCGGAAACTTGCATATGTGTCTTATAATCTGCAGACTGCTGTTTCAAATGCTGTCTGTCACTTTTGTTTCTAGGTTGAAGGTCTTGTTCTTGACCATGGTTCAAGGCATCCAGATATGAAACGCCGAGCAGAGAATTGCTACATTTTGACCTGTAATGTATCACTGGAATACGAGAAAAGGTGATTAGTTGTACATGTACCAGATGGTGTCCATCTCAGTTCACTTATTATTCTCGGGTTGAAGAATTGACATTATTTTTCTCAGTGAAATAAATGCAGGATTTTTTTACACAAATGCAGAGCAGAGAGAAGCAATGATTGCAGCTGAAAGACGTTCTGTTGATGAAAGAGTGCAGAAAATTATTGATCTCAAGAACAAGGTTATCGAATGCGACATCAGAATTGAACATTCTTGATGGCTGAGTTCTTATTGTATGCTGTCTCTGGTCATGGCTTATACTTGTCATTATCTTCAGGTCTGCACTGGTAATGACAACAACTTTGTCGTTATCAATCAAAAAGGAATTGATCCTCCATCACTGGACCTTCTTGCTCGAGAAGGAGTAAGTCATCTGTACTTTTAGAATTCTGTATTGGGCTCTCCTTTCCTGTTTGGAATTTTTTCCATCACGGAGATCCTCTGAACTTTGTGCTAATTATGATCCTTGTACTTAAAATATTATATTCCAAGTATTGAAAGCTTCTTGTTTTATGACCTTGGGTCATAATTCTTGTGTTTTGATATTCTGCTGTTTAGCAATTAGAGAAACTGATATGTCAGGTAATTGCTCAGAGACTTGTTCCCACCCCCAAAAGATAATATGTATTACCCCAAATGGAGATTTGGTTGGGCTCTTAAAACCATTTTTTAAGAAGTAATGATGTTTCCGACCATGTTATTTCAAATCAAAGAAGCCATTGAGTATCATCTTTCACTGATTTTATGATTGTGAAATGTTTGATGGGGCTGCAGCTTCAAATGTAAAGTATTTTTCACCTCTGTGAAAAAACTGATTATATTCTATTCTCTAGTTTTGATTTGCATTTTATAATTGAATGTTTTTCAGATAATTGGCTTGCGAAGAGCAAAGAGGAGAAATATGGAAAGATTGGTGTTGGCTTGTGGTGGAGAGGCTGTAAATTCGGTTGATGACCTAAACCCTGACTGCCTTGGTTGGGCTGGATTGGTCTATGAACATGTCCTCGGAGAAGAAAAATATACATTTGTGGAAAATGTGAAAAATCCACACTCTTGTACAATCCTCATCAAAGGTACGTTTAGTTGCTCCTCTCCTTGAGTTCATGTCTTGGTTGTGGTAACGAGACAACTTGTCTGGAACACTCGGGTTGATGGTTATTGTCAATGTTTAGAAAGGTGTAATCAGGTATTGGAGTTTATTTCCTTAATGATACATCATAAACAATCTTCACAATTCATAATAGAACAATTTAAAGCGTGTTAGTAAATAAAAAAAAAATCTATAAAGAAACTATAGTTTTAGTTAGTGGGACAGTGGATTATTCTCATAGTGGGTCTATAAATTTTTTTCTGTTCTTTTTTTTGAATGTTTTAGTGGGTGATTTGTTATTCTGAAAATGGGTCATAAGAATTTTTATGTTTTGTGGGCCACAAACTTTGCTGTGAGGCTTGTCTCTCATAACTGAGGTGTACGCACCAAAGCTACCTCAAAATCAGCGTCTTAGGACATTTTTTGCATGTGCCACTTTGAGGCAGGCCATAAGGCAGATTTCAATGGAGTCTTTTTAAACTTATTGTTGCTGTCACTGCCATTCAATGATCTAATGCAGCTTGCTGTTTTTGTAGGACCTAATGATCATACAATTGCTCAGATTAAGGATGCAGTTCGTGATGGACTAAGGGCAGTAAAAAATACCATTGAAGATGAAGCTGTTGTACTGGTACGGAATTGCCCTTTTGAGGCTTGTGCAGTTTTATATTAAATCTTGTTATTTTATACAAGAAATCTAGGCTCAAAAAGTAGTCTATATCATTAATTTGCCGACATTGTTTGACTTGGTTTTGTTTAGCTACGAGCCACACTGATGTGACTGTAAATTTCGGGAGAGTTCCCTTTTATTTGTGTTGAATTCCTGTATGGTCTATGGTGACTCGGTGTGTAGCTCATTGTGGTGTTATCTGCTACATGAGAATCTAATTTTGATAAATAAATGAAGACAAGTAAATTTTACTCGTTCATTGACCTTTATATCCCATAAAATCTAGACTTGAGAATGATATATGTTTCTGCTGCTCAAATGTAGAACATTTAAGATAAAAAGCGTTGAACGTAGTTTTCATTGCTCACAATAGGTGGATCATAACACTTCAGATAAATCATGCATTTATTTCTCTAAGTGAGGTACCTTTTTTGGAAGTATTGCAGGGTGCTGGGGCTTTTGAGGTTGCAGCCAGACAATACCTTGTTAACGAAGTGAAGAAAACTGTTCAAGGGGTATGCTTCTAATTAATTTGTTTATGCTAATTTAGTTGTGTTTCTCCATATGTTTCCAAGTCTGAAGCATTTATCATACTATCCTGATTGATTTTCTGATGTCATAGCGTGCCCAACTGGGTGTGGAAGCTTTTGCTGATGCCCTGCTTGTGGTTCCAAAGACACTTGCTGAAAACTCTGGCCTGGACACTCAAGATGTGATTATTGCGCTTACGGTATACTCTCTATTGCATTCGAGTTCCTAATTTTCCCGAAGTATCGACGGAAATAATTCAATTTTACCATTGTCTTGAAAAACTTGTTTATACTTTCCAGGGAGAACATGACAAGGGAAATGTAGTAGGACTTAGCCAACACACTGGAGAACCTATTGACCCCCAAATGGAGGGGATCTTTGACAATTACTCTGTAAAGCGTCAAATCATTAACTCAGGGTACGTCAAA